CCTTCTCTTTCTTTTGGAATTAATGTTTTCTTACACCTTTCTAGTAAACTCCCAGACATTATCGAAAAAAATCTAACTGTATAAATCATCCAGGAGACTGACAGTGTGTTTTATATAGTTGTATTCTCCAATGCGACTATCTCATGTGTTTCACATAGTAGGTGTTCTATAACTATTCATTAAATGCAGATAATTTGAGATCTATAAATTACACACAAATCTATTTCATGCTTCCTACTTAAATGGAACAGATTAGGATATATTTCAAACAAGGCAGGTCAATTCCTTTTGTTCATTTGTAATCTCGTTGAAGTTAATAGACCCCATAATTCACTCTCTGGGAGTAAGTAACTCAGTTGAAAAGACATATTAACTCTTTCAGTGCCCAATGGAACCATTCATATTTTAGAGATGGAATTACTACAAGTCACTTAGGTACTAGTGATCATATGTTTATTAAGGAAGTTTAGGATACTGAACTGTCACTTGAATAAACAATATTTCATGTTAATATACAGTAGAATAGAAAATATAAGAGCCAATATTATACCAATGGTCCAATATTCTTATTGAGAAAAAGCTGTCAATTTTATTTTATTTTTTTAAAGATTTTATTTATTTATTTAAGAGCGAGAAGCAGGCTCCCCATTGAACGTGGGGCTCCATCCCAGGACCTGGGGATCATGACCTGAGCCAAAGACAGACACTTAACTGACTGAGCCACCCAGGTGCCCAAAAGCTATCAATTTTAAAAGAACTTCTCTGTCAAACCACTATTTCCTCACACTACTTTTTAGAGTATGTAAATGGTTTAAAGACAAGGCGAAAAATATGCAAAATGTCCTCTGTTTATCACTCAAGGAAAATATGGCCTTCTAATGAAGTGAGGCAGAAATCCAGGATATGATAGATGACCTCTACCCCCGACCCTCTACCCCTCCTCACACAGAGGGTACTCTGTTCCAGAGCAGTTAAGATGCTACTGGGATGTATGTTTTAAAAAATAAGAGGGACAAAGAACTTATTCTCCGTCTCCAAAATCCTGCAATTTTACTTTCTTTCTTAAGAAAATTTCATTACATATAGAATACAAAGAACTCATAAAGGTGAAGCATATGTATGTCATATTGCATCTGCCTACATGGGCAAAAGGAAATAAAAATTCTACAATTTGTTTGTTTTTATGTAACTTTAATTCCATATTCTTGGTCTTATGATCCTAAATAAATAAAAGCATATGGACATTATCCTCTAAGAACTGTTGCTGACTTAAAAGTTAATATAAAATATCTATTTGCTATTTAAGCCCATATGATAGCAAGAGAATTTGATTTTATTATTAATTTTTAGGAGTAAAATCCTGAATGAAATTTCTTTCTCATTGGCACCTTCTCTCTCTTACATCTCTCATATTTATAGAGGTGAATGAGCATGGAAACTAAGAGGTTGTACATTTTAAGTTTTAGTCCTAGGATTCAGGATACAAAAGTCACTTTTCCACCCTATCCCTACTTACATCTATAAACTTTAGCAAGGCAATAAAACTGTGGACCTTGGTTCTCCTCACACATAAAATTCAAGGATTTCATAGCAACTCAGTTCTATGACTCTCTATCAGCCCTTCCCTGCAAACATTTTTCTTCTTATTTATTACAGATTCCATGATTTTTCATCTTAATAATTTCCATACAACTAACTCATCCCTCTTAATTCCCTCTTTTTTTTGTTACAATTGCATGTAAATAACCAACTGTTGATGAATCAGCAAGGTGCTGTAAAAATGTACAATTTAATTAATATTTTTGATCAACTATGTAACAGGCACCTTTCAAGGCTCTAGGAAGCAGAAAATAACAAAATATACAAAGATTCCTGGGCTTGTGTTCTAATGAGGGAGATACATAATAAATGAGATAAACTAGAAAATTTTATGGTAATAACATAAGTGCTAAGGAAGAAAAGATAAAGCAAGGAAAAGGCATAAGGTTCGGGAGTGTGTTGAAAGAAAACTTCATGAGAAGGCAAACATTTAGTAAGACCTGAAGGGTGAGCTGAAAGAAGTTAGGACATGATCTATAAGGATATATGTAGGAAGAGCATTACTAGCAGAGGGAACAGCATGTGCAAAATCCTAAGGCAAGATCAGGCTTGGCACGTTTTCAAGTTGCAAGAAGGCTAGTTCACTTAGACAAAGGATCAAGGGAAATTATTATGCGTGATTAAAGTCAGGGCAGGTAATAGGACACAAGGGCCTTAGAACACACACACACACACACACAAACACACATGTGGCTAATGTGATGTGATTATTGGCGCTAGTAGGTTAAGAACACACACACACAAACACACATGTGGCTAATGTGATGTGATTATTGGCGCTAGTAGGTTAAGAACACACACACACACAAACACACATGTGGCTAATATGATGTGATTATTGGCGCTAGTAGGTTTAAAATCTGTAAGGCAAATCCAACACCCTGGAAACTCAGGTAGGCGTTGTTATATAAATGGGCCAAAAATGACCCCTATACATTAGTGCTTAAATTGGTTACTTTTTCACAGAAAGCTAGGAACGCTAGCCCTGAGATTTCAAAAGGCCCTTCCACCATTCCATGAAACCGTCTGCTTCAGGATGTTGGGCAACATGGCAAGACCATGGAATCACATGAGCATAGGCCTTTTGCCACACTTTTTTGTTGTGAAGTGAGTTCTTTTAGCAGAAGCAGTGCCACTATGACAGTGGGTAAGCCATTCTGCATGTAAGCAATCAGTAGTCTTGACAGAAGCATTGCATGTAGGGAGGATAAACCTGTATCCAGACTGAACTAGTCTCTTTTATGATGAAACCATCCAAAGATATTAACCTGCAAATCTGGTAGCTGGCTGATTGCCCTGAAGAATGGTGCCATAATGGGGACTCAGTGTTGGTCTCTACTGCTGGCTGATTTGTCATTCAGCAGTGGCTGTCAGGTCAGGTCAGCCTTTGTGAATGGAAGTCTGTTACTGAGCACATACATAACCTCTCTTCATGGCCGTTTAGTTTTTGAGCCCACTGGGCAATAATACAAGGGCCTGGGGAAAGAGCCTGACTTGTATACCCAAAATGGGTCACCCTATGAAATTGATTATTAAAATCCTCCTCTGCTGAGGTCACACTTTGGTGAACATTGACATGGCATACAAATATCTTCTCATTTTTTGCCCATTCTGAGATGTGTTTCCACATTCTTCTTCCCTAGACCTTCTTGTCATCTCTGATTATTTTCCTTCCAAGACCTTGATCATCCAGCCAAACCATTTGGCCTGAATCCATGAGTAAGTATGCAATTGCTCATCTGACTATTTTCTCCTTGCTAGTAAAACGAGAAATCATGTGCACTGCTCAAAGTTCTGCCCACTGGGAGGATTTTCCTTCCTCACTGTCCTTCAGGGATGTCACAAGAAGTAGTTTATAGTGCTAGAGCTCTCCACTTTCAGGTGGTACCAGCATATCCCACAGGACTACCTGGAAACCCCTGCCAAGTTTTCTCTTCCTCAATTGATTGTAGGGAATTCTCCTTGAGGCTATATGTGCAGGCTGGGAGAGAGAAGGTAATGTAGCAGGAATGACATGGACATTTGGGCCACTTTCTTAGTAATTGACTTGTGCTTTCAGAGCCTGCTGTAGTCCAGTTTTATATTATAGCCCCTTGTATTTGATGAAGTGTTGCTGTGCATGCCCAAACTTTATTGCTAGCTGTGCCAGATGGCACCCAATTCATAATGCTCAGATCACAAGGTAACTGGGGCTCAGAGTTAATATTTTATTCTCTACTAAGGGCCAGAGGACAAAAGCTGTTTCTCAAAAGGAGAGTAGTTATCTCCAGAAAATGGCCTGATTTGCTCCCAAGTCCTAAGGGTCTATGCTGTGATTCAACTAGAAGGGCTATTTATATTATATATGTACTATACTATATTTGGACGGCCAAATATGAACGAGTGAATGTGTATAAAGGCTATTCATGATTTTTCTAGTATTACTGCTGCAATTTCTTAGCTTGATTTTTTTTTAAGATTATTTATTTGAGAGAGAGAGGGAGAGAGAGAGAGAGGATGGAGGGAGAAGGAGAAGCAGACTCCCTGCTGAGCAAGGAGCCCTACATGGGGCTCCATCCCAGGAGCCTGAGATTATGACCTGAGCCAAAGGTAGATGCCCACCCAACTGAGCCACCCAGGCGTCCCTTAGTTTGAATTTATCTCAACATATATCATTTATTTTCTCTGCTCGTTTCTCTCCCATATGAAATTTCTATTTACTTTGAACTTGGTTCCCATTCTTGAACATAGTAAACACTTAATTTCTGTGTGCTAAATCCTTAGAAATAAAGTAATTTAGAAGTGGTGAAGGTTCATTTAAAGAAGGCTACGTGTTTATCCTTCCACAGTATGCGTTAAAAGATGTTTTCTGATAGTTATTCCTTTGATTTATAAAAATAATTTTTTTCATCTAAGCTATGACATCAAAATCTGTTGTCTTTGGGAAGTATTTTTGTTTAAACCCTTAGTTTACAAAATGTTTTATTTTTTCTAAAATGGGCTGATTCTTTCCTTCAAATAATAAGGAAAGTTAACAGAGCTAGAGAGACTCTTTAGTACTGTGAAATAATTTGTTTTTGTTTTGTCCCCATTCTTTCTCCCACTTTTCTAACAGAACTTTGATAATTTTTCTGGACTATAATTTTGATATTGCTTAAATGCAGTATTTCCAAAGTGACATTTTTAATTTTTTTTTTCTGCATCTTGATCACATTTATTGAAAGGGTTGGAAAAAAACTAAAATGCCCTTTAGCTTAAGAATTTTTTAGTTATCCGCAAATCAACTCGTTTCGGGAGTGGAAGAATCCTTGGTCATTTCTTAATATCAAAATTTATGCAGGTTTCTCTTTTGAGTGTCTTCTACATTTAAAGAGGCAATCATACAAAAGCTCCTATATTCCATACATGATAAATTCTTAGTTTCAGCCAACTCTTAAGGGAGAGGCAACTAGTACAACAGCATCTCCCCGGACAAAAAGCATTGAAATATTCCGTTTTGTTGATTTATATATCTCTTCGTATGTTTCCTCATCAATTTCTATAGTAGTCACAGTTTCTTCCACATCTCCCAATATCATATTTAAATGCTGATCATAAGCATGTAATCTGCCTCGAAGCTCTCTGTCATTTCTCATTTTCACATAAATTCGCTCATCCAGGCTGAGCCTGATGAGATCCAGGGGCTCTTCTACAGTGTTGATAGTTTGTTGCTGGGCAATATGGCTTGGAAGCGCGCGGCCGGTAGGAAGCCGCAGGGACGCCAACCGTGCGGCCCGAAGGCCAAGGGCTAGAGCATGGCCGGGAGTGAGGAGAAGGAGGCGGGTGAGAGCGAGACCTAGCCGGGCTTAGGGGGAGATGCTGGAAGAGGGCAGGAGGCAAGGTGTGGGGAGCGGGGAGGCCGGACTCCTGAAAGTGGGGGGCAGAGGCTGCCTCATGCCCATCTGCCCGGAGGAGACATTTTTAATTTTTAATAATATCTAGGGAGGTTCAGATAATTTGAGAATCTTGAGACAGAATCATCAAATGATTACTAGTTTTTGGAATTTACTCTTTTTTATGGGAGCTTTCCACGAAACTAAATCTTTCCACATTGGTGAGAAACAGACATCTGTATTTCAAATGCATGGTATACATAAATTTGGACCAACTTACTTTTCTAATTAAAGTAATCAAAAACTTCATTTGGTTAAAAAGGGGCTCTTATAGCTCAAGAAATGCTGAATTTTGTCCTTATGGTGTAGAGATCGCTTGTTTCAATTCCAAGCTCTGTTTTGTACGTTAGAAAACATTAGATAATTAATTCACAAGTTAGCTGAGCTAAACTTGGGAAAGCACTGAGGAATATTTGAAAGAATTAAATTGAGCAGACTACTTTAACATTGGGAGGATGATAGCATCTGTGAGAGTTTGGGGGGAAATGTGTAGAGCAAATAAATAGGAAGAAAATTAAACTAAAAGTTAGTTTTGAAAAGCTTTGTAGAAAAGGGCTGAGTTTTAAAATAATGTTGTTGTCTTTACCTCATATGTTGTTTCCATGATCCTTCACTTTCTTTTTAGTGTCTCTATGTTTGGTATGAAAATTCCACATTTTATCTTTATATTGTTTAAAAATTTTAAAGACAAAAAAAGCTCTTCTAATTTGTCCCTCATTATGTCAAAATAAAAATAATTTCATAGAGCATAGATAAATATCATGAAACATTATATTTTGTTTCAATTAGGTCATATTTTAAATTAAAAATATTTTAAAGAGATACTGTATTTTCTAAAAAACAAAAACAAAAAACCCCAACTTCTTACATAGGAAAGAAAATTGAAAAGCCACTAATCAAAAACAAATTTTAAAATTGTAATCTCAATGTAAAAATTAAAATATAATAGGTCAGCATTCTATAAGGAGTAGTTTATTCTACCAATTAGTTCATTGGACTATGCAACAATTCAAATGTCAATAAATGCCTTTAGCAATAGTTCAAATAAAATAAATTATCAAATCTTCTACCTCACAGAGTGTTGCCTCATACTTTGAAAATATTTTCAATATTAGACAAACTGGTCATTAGTACTGTATTTAACATAGGTTTTGATTAATTTCAACCAATATGTAGAAATGTATTTGTTTTTGCTATCTTTAAAAATTGTTGTATTCATAAATATATTAAGGATCTATATTAAGAAAAATACCTATGGTTAGCCTGGGTTTTCTAATTTCAACTTTTTGTCTACTAATGTGTGTCCATTCTAAAGTGATTGCAAAGTATTCCTCCTATACTTAGCTGAGTGTAGACATGTAAGCGCTTAAGGTTATTTTCTTTATGAAACAATCCATGTAATTAGACTCATTTTGTGTCATAATCTGTGTTCTTAATCAAATGCTCTGCAGGTTACTATAAAAGCTCTCTCTCTTAACTATAAAATTAATTAAGTCTTATTATTTTTGAGAAAAGGAGGATATGTTAATGGCAAGTACAAAGTTAAGTGAATAATGTCTATACTGTAGATTAAAGCATTTCTTAAGTATATCTATTAAATTGAGTTTTTGGTTTGTATTGCTCAATTTTCAGAATTATTATACATAATACTGCAAATATTTATTGACAGCATAGTATGTGCACAAAGCATATGATAAATTAATCAAACCTAATGGACAGGTATGTGTATGAGAAAATAGGGTAATCAAAAATATGTTTTATGTTTTTGTTTGAGTGGCTGGTTGGTTAAGGAGTGGAGATTATTGTAAGGAAGACTGAGGGAACACCAAGGAAGGTGAGTGAGTGTCTGTGGGAATGCATTGCATAGGAGTAAACTTTCATAGTTAGAGCATGTAATATTAATGTGCCTATTAGGAATTTAAGTTACAGAGATATTGACTAGATGTAGAAAGTAAAGTTAAGGCAAGGAAATCCATGTAAGCAAAGATTTGCGTTTGTAAGATTGTATATAGCATTTTAAATCCAGGAAATTAGGTGGGATTTCTTCAACATAATTTATAAGATAAGGAATATAAAGAGGTCTCAGGCAACCACACTCAGAAGTTCCAGAGGAGTCATGAAGAAAAGACAATGACAGTCCAGTCATGTTGGAGCATGGATGTCCCAAGGGGAAGGGGAAGATGTGCTTGAATAAGGATGGAATGAACCTCTCTTGTCAAATATTGCTAAAATAAAAATTCTGATAAGGACAGAGAAATGGCATTTGCATTTTGCAGTATGAAGGTCATTGTGCCTTTCACAAGGAAAGATTCATCATAATGGAATGAAAAAAATTGAAATATTTCAAGGAGAGAATATGAGAATAGGTAAGTATATAATGATGACAATAGAAAACTTTCTTTAGAAGATAGGAAATGAAATAGAACAAAAAAACAGATCAGTAGTCCAGGGAAATTTAAGACAATAGTTTTTTTTCAGAAATTCTCAAAAACAAAACCTCTGTTAACATTCATCTCCAGGATTTCTGATTTCTCTTAATTTGGGGAACTGGTATTCTATAATTCCATCCTGTTGTCCTTGTTCGATATCCTTTTTAATCCAGCAATTCATTTGTTTTAGTAATAATGTTGTTCAGGTCATCTGCTCTGGTCCATAGTCTGTTTCTTTATGTAAAGTTTTATTGGAGAACAGCCCACCATTTCTTTAAGTGATCTCTATACTTGCCCTCATCCTATAGCAGTAGAGTTGAGAAGTTATAACAGAGACCTTGAAACTCATAAAACCTAAAATATTTTTCAGATATTTCTTTACAGAAAATGATTGCCAGTCCCTGATCAACTTATCCAATTGCTCTAAATTAAGTCCTTCTTTTACTTCATCCTTATTTGTCAATATTTGAAATGTCGCCCCGAAGACGCATCATGGAGAATTCTATTAGTTTCCAATGTACTGAAACACTTTTTCAACAAATCTGATGGTGGATTTACATTCATTTATGCCATTTTATCAAATCTGGTTGCAAGGACACAAAAGTAAGGTACTAGTCATGTTGATGAAATTAAAAAACAAAAACAAAAATGAAGTTAAAATCATTGCCATTTTTAATGAAACCATGTTATCCACGATAGATTTAAATGTAAATGTAAGATTATTGAAAATAACTTCCTTCATCTGAATTTCAGAATATAATAATTGCTAGCAGATTCTGAAATTATATGGGATGAAATAAACCTCAAATTAAGCATTTTATATTTTGTTGCTTAAATGATTACCTAACTGATGGTTATTGAATTTCAATGTCAATCTGCACTAGAAGTCACAAGAAATAGTGTCTGAGTTAAGAAATACACACCCATACACACGCGCACACACACACACACAAACACAAACACACACACACCCCTATCCTGTGCCTTTGAGAAACAAGAATAAAGAAGCTTAGAGCAACAAAACAAAAGACCCTGTGGTCAGTTCCTTTTGAACTTATGAGTTTTTGTTATCTCAAAGCATTTCCCTTGAGAACTAGAAATATAAAATCAAAAGTTCCATGGAAAGAAGATAAAAGGAAAATTATTAACTGCTGAACAAAAGAGTGCAAATAAATTCAAGCAGGCTGTCATTAGACTTTCTAGTAATAAAACCATTTCTTTAACATTCTAGAAATTTCTATTCCTCTTGTATATTACTTTTGAAATAATGTTGTGAAAAGAAAAAATCAGAAAATATTTTAAAAGATCAATGAAAGAGATAAAAGATAAAAATAAGTTCATTTCTAAAGAGAAACTAAATATAACCAATGATATAACTGACATTAGAAAGATTATAAGAAAATACTGCATGTAATTATCAGGGCACATCTCTTAAAATCTAGAGAAAATAAATATTTATAAGCAAAATGTAAATCACTGAAATTAATCCCCAAAGAAGCAGAAACTTTAACATCCAAATAAAACAAAAGAGACTGGACAGACTTATTGAAACAAAGATACCAGGACCACATGCTTTAAAACTGAGAAAAGAAGGTTTTTCCCAAAATTATTTAAATGATTTCACAGCATAGAAAAATGAAAACTTCCCCCAGTTATTTTTATACATTAGAATAATATTAATTCTAAAACTGTTTTAAAAAGTCCTGTATGTGACTACCATATATGTGTGGTTTTGTGTGTGTTTGTGTGTGTGTTTGTATGTGTTCAACTCCCTTGTTCCCAAAAACTTATTTCAGTTACTTTTCATACCACATATTTTGTAAGGCTCCTTTTATTATTTTAGAATAAAACTCATTAATTGATAAACTATACTTATGTACACCAAAAATCAATATACTGTTTAAACTGTAATATAAGGAATAAAGGTAATTAAATAATAATAATATATTTCAAATATACAGGTTCAGCTAAAAATTTACTAGAAAACAGTTTGATGTATGTATTCAGATTTAGAGGTCTGTGCCTATAGAAAGAATCAATGTGACTATATGGTTTCAAACGTAGAAACATAGAGTTGGGTTGGACTAATTACTCAAACATTAGTATTGGTATTAGTAAAGGGATTTTTGGAAATGATTGCCAACTTTTAGTTTTAACTAGAAAAATTATAGCCTTTCCTCAATTCTTGAAAAATAAGTTTATTTAATAACTCCCTCCCCCAAGAAAAACTAATATAGAAGGCTTTCAGCCACAATTAGATATGCAGAAAATTTAGTGTTATGTATTCAAAGAACTACCCTAAGACCAAGCAGAGTTTTATATCAACAATACAAAAACAGGAAAAGGTTTCAGTATTAGGAAATGTAGAAGGGAAATTCATTATACTAACACATTAAATAAAAACTATCATTTTAGTAATGGGTGCTAAAATGTAAGTTGAATCATGTCAACAGCCATTCTAATAAAAATCCTAAGTTAAAGTA